TGGTCGCTGCCCCATCCCTGGAACCATTCCAGGTGAGGTTGGCCGGGGCTCTGAGCAACCTGCTCTAGCTGCAGATGTCCCTGCTCAGGGCAGGGGGTTGGACTAGGTGACCTTGACAGGTCCCTTCCCACCCCAACCAGTCTGACTCAGTAAAGATGAAGCCCCTGCTCTCCCATGGGGCAGCAGCACCAGTAAAGCTCCCAGAGTGGTTTCTCCCAGCACATGCCACCAGCCTGTGGGCTCTGGGTGGGACCACATGCTGCTCTGACCCTGGGACCACTGGGGCTACCACCACCCCTCAGGAGTCTGGGACATCCCTGGGACCTGCCACCCTCCAGCCACCCTGGTGGAGGGCTGGGGATGGAGATATGGGGGTGTGCACCTCTGGCGTGGGGCATCCCCACTGTCCCCTCCCCTGGCACCCTCAGTGGAGCGATGCCAGGGACCATCCTCTGCCTTTCCTACAGGAAAATAATTGCATGTTACCATCATTTTTCCTTTTTTTCTTTACAAATAGCCTTCTACTCAGCGAGGCAGGTGCTGGCCATGGGTCCTGATGCCTCATGGCTGATTTCTGCTACCACTGGACATTTTCAGGGCAGGAGGGAGGAGCAGGAGGCAGGGAGCAACTTCTGGGAGGGGAGCTGCATTGTCTGCTGCTAAGTATAGCCTCCAGCTTCCCTCCTTGGCCTATAAAACCCCTGAATTTTCCTAAATCCAGATGTTAAATGATTTTTTTCCTCCATCCCTTCCACCCAGGGGGGAGAGGCAAGGGGCCCTCCCCTCACCATAGGCTGCGTTTAGCAAAAGCTCATACCCTCAGCTCCATTTTTAAGTGAATTCCTCCTTGAAAGCATTTGAGCTCTCACCAAAAAGCTGCACTTGGGCCATTTCATCTCCAGTCACTCCACTTCCAGACTTCCCATCTCCTCTCACCATTCATGGCAGCCCCAGAGGTCAAAGGCTTGAGATTTGTAGGGAGACAAGAGGCAAATGCTGCTTTTATGGAGCCAGCTGCAAAATACACTTAAAAAAAAGTAAAATCTTGCAGGGCTGTCCTTTGTTTTTGTGTTTAAATTTTGCAAAGCAGGCTCTGCTTCCTCCCTCTGAAGCGTGGTGGCTTCAGCAGGTGGGTTCCTCACTGAGCATCTCCCTTTTATCAACCCCTCCAAAATCAGCCCGGCTGGAGTCTTTGCCATCACCCTCATCAGGCACCAACGACCTGAAATCCCCCAAACTGGGGGGGATGTTTGAGCTGGGGAGGGCTCAGGGGGGCAGGGAGGGAGCTGGGGGTGCTGGG